AATAGTTCACTATTCTTCTTTATTCTCCTGAAGAAGAATAGTGAACTATTCGAAAGTGCACAAGTTTTGAGTCTTGTTTGAAAACCATTACAACTTTTGTATGTGATCCTGTGTGCTCACTTCTTAATCAGAACTTAAGAGATCACAGTATTATATATCCAATATCTGTGATACTATATTCTCAGGATGTGTGCACCACTTGTGTTGCTGTTGGTCAGCCTCATTGAAACATAAGGGAGGTTATTACCTCAATATACACCTGACTTGCCATTGGAGGATACTACTGTTAACATCCTTGCACAGTGTGCAACATTAAAGCCATAATCACCATGAACAGAACAGGTGTTGTTCCCAAAGAATGTCAAAGGAACAAAGGCAGCTAGAAACATGTTATGTGAAATTGCACATACTCAGAAATAACTGATAAAATTTGAATAACACTATATTAAAATGAAAAGGTAGGAACTCATGGTATGTTTATATACCACATATTTATGAACGTATGTGTTGTGTAATTGGTTAGGACAGTCTGACAACAAAGTATATTGTCAAGTTTAAGGGATTTGTTGAAAAGCAAGTGTGGTTTTCTGAACTTGCAATTTTATACGTTGAAATTAAATAGATAGAAAGATACTGGTACTGTTTGCATGGGAAACTGTATTACTTCAGACACTGAAATTAGGTGGTACACATATAGCATACATTTGTAAGTCTTCACATTATTTAACTTGGGTGAATATTTCTACAGGTGCATTGTTACCTAGATAGTAAATAGAAAACTGATTAGTGATTCAAAAAAATCCTGGAAAAAGAAAATTAACATTCGTACCAGAATTATTTATAAGTGATATTTATTTGTCTGCTGTTGTAATGATGATATGAGGAGTGATGTATTTAACAATGTCAGGAGATGTTTATTTAAGTAAAAGAACATAATTTACAAAATATTACTTTGCAAGAAATCATCATATATTTTTACAAAACAAAGGTTTTTGGTGGCTTTATATGATTTTAATCTTTCCACATAATCCCTGAAAAAGTTGATTAGCTATGTATTAGAGTTTTTGAGTCTACAACATTTTTAATGTGTTCTTTTTCATGTTTGTTCTTAATTCTTCCTTTAGATGGCTGTCATGGAGAGAGGAGCATCTTTGATCTTAATTGCTTCCTGTTTTGTTAGTTTTTTGTCAGTTTCTCAGCAGTGCAATGAAGCAGTGTGTGGATCAATTGTAAGCAAATGTATGCTAACTCAGTCCTGTAAGTGTGAGAAGGCAAATTCAACTTGCAGTCGGAATTGTTTCCTGTGTCTAGATGATTTGTATATAGAATGTTGCTCCTGTGTTGGTAAGTACACATCAAAATGTTTCAGAAAGTTTTGCCGATAAAGACATTGTAAAAAAATATTAGTTATTCTTAGCAAAGGATTTGCTTGTATATTTCTTGTTATTTTGAAATTACTTAAATTTTAAGATAATAAATAACAGACAGATTTGATAACATGAATCAGTTTCAGAATCTTTTTTTTTGTTGTTAGTATTCTCATTATATCCCAGTCACTTGAAGCTGTCAAGTCACAATGTTATCTTTTCAAATGTAGTTGTTAAGGCTTCTACGTGATTGTTGGTTTTACATTTTAGTTTATACAGTATGAGAACAGAGTTTATCTGTATTTTAGATAATGACTTCTTTTAAAATATACCTTTTGGATACAGGATTTATTCTTAAACTTGTACCATGTGAGAACAAGGCTATTAATACGATTCTTGATTTTTCATTTGGTTTCTTACCAGTTAAGAGCTAGGTTTCACATGATTTATTATTAATGTTTACATGAAATTGAATTCCACGTGATTGAATGGTTTATTTGTTTACTTTCTACCGTGTCAGAACAAAGTTCTTGGTGGCTAGAGCACTTGACTCCCAGTATGTGGGTCATGGGTTCGAATCCCCATCACCGAACATGCTTGCTCTTTCAACCATGATGTGTTATACTGTGACAGTTAATCCCACTATTCATTGGTAAAAGAATAGCCCAAAAGTTGATGGTGGGTGGTGTTGATTAGCTGCCTTCCTTCTAGTCTATCACTGCTAAATTAGGGAGGGATAGCATAGATGGCCCTTAAGTAGCTTTGAGTGAAATTTGAAGAAAAGCAAATGTCTATATAGTTGTTTGCTTACTTTTCAGTTTTTTCCATGTAAGGTAGGGTCTCATGTGATTGTAGGTTTTATATACTTGAACACGAAAGTGAGATTCACATAATTTAAAGCACTTTCCATAAGTTTCTGCCACATTAGAACAACATTTTGGGTGAAGTTCATAAGAAACTCAGTCCATAAGGTTCATTGTCATTGTTGTAATGATAATAATAACAATGAAAATAAATTCAATAGTATGCATAAAACTTTGGCATGCTATTGTTACTCTGAAATTTTAAGTCTGTAAGCTTGTTAAGGCAGACAGGACACAAACAGATACTTATGGGATTACTAAAAGCAGTAATCTTGGTTTAGACACACCCTTAATTTTTGTGCAGTAGAAAATTAAGGCTTAATTCTAAATAATTTTGACTTTTGGATATAGAGTATAAAAATTTGAGGAAAAGTTGTAGAAGTGATAAAGGTGCATCTGAAAATACATTTAGTGATATAGAAAAGGTTATATTCTGAAAAAATAAGCCATTGTATGAAATAAGTTTAGTTTTAAAGCGTGACAAATACATACATATTGTACTCAGAAAATCATAGTTTTCACCAAAGAATACATTTGTTGGTGACTTGCCTAAATCAAATAAAATTTTTTGTAGTATTTAGGGCCATAAAAATGTTTATGGTATTTTTGCATCTCCTTCAACAAACGTATAGTGGATGGCGAGCTAGTCTTATAAAGAAATTTGTTTCACACTGCTGGATGAACCATGAGGCAAATGAGGAGGCTGACTCAGAGCCTCTACAAATATTTTGTTCACATTATTTATGAATATTGTGATATTCAATTTAAATATTTATTTCTTATATTTGAAAGTTTGTTTTTAATACAATAAAGTTTTTTTTATTTCTTATATTTGAAAGTTTGTTTTTAATACAATAAAGTTTTTTAAAATCTTATATTTGAAAGTTTGTTTTTAATGCAATAAAGTTTTTATTTCTTATATTTGAAAGGGCCTCCAGATACCTTAATCTGGCCCTGAGTAGGAGTATATTCATTCTCTCACAGTGATCTGTACTGCTTTGTAGGAAGATTTACAAAAGTTAATCCAGTGAATTTTTGTAACCTGTATTACTAAAGACTGTACTTTTCATTTGTATCATAATAAGCCTTGTAAAAATTGATTTTGTTAATTGATTTTATCTTATTATTTTGTAAAGTTTAGAAAAGGGTTTCATGAATTCCATGAAATAATATAATGAACTTACGAATTATAAAATTTAGTACTTTGAAGACAAAAATTAGTTAGATGATAGTTATTTTTCCATGTTTTTTAGGGCTGTGTCCCAAGCCCAACGACACAGACACAGACATGAGTAAAAAATCTCATGTAGAAGATCTGTCTGAACCAATTCCAGTACTTTTTACAGTCTTAACTGAAAAGGAAGACCACAAGTTTCGGTGGATTTCCTACACATTTCCAGCTCACTTATCATTCATTACTCTAGCTGAAACAAATGACATCAAAGTTTCTTCTGGTAAGTTACATGCATCATTTATTTTAAAAAACACCAACAGATTATTAAGATATGAGACAATTTTGTAGGTTGGCTTCTTCTTTTCTTGTGTTTGATTCAAATTAATAATTTGTTATTCTTGAGTGTGCATGTTGTATATTTTGTGTTGCTGATTCCATTGTGTTTTGTTTTTTTATACTCAGACTTTTTATGCATATATATGTGTGTGTGTGTTTGTAGGAAAGATTCTTAGTCAAGTGACACTACACTCCCTTTCAGTCATGACTACCTTTAATACACAATAATAATTAGATCAAATTTGATACAACTGTTTTTGATAATGGTTACATCACTTAGAGTATGTTTCTTCACTCAGATCCTTTCCCATTTCTGCAGAAAAATATTCTTGAAAATCTTTACTCATAGTTTTAATCATTTATAATTAAAGTGATACATAAGAGATAGGATATGTAAGAGCTTTGATTCAAACAACCTAGAGCTGGTATCATGGAATTGTATGTAAGAAAATGTTTGGAGGTTGTGAGGGTGCTAGTTCTAGAGGCAGAATACTTGTACTAGTAAGCTGGAGCCAACACTGCCCTGTTTATATTGATTTTTATGCTAAACTAAAATTGATATGTGAGTCTCCTTTTAACTGACTGATTGGTGGATACCTGACCACTTGCAAAATATCATTTGAAACTGAAAGTATTTAAATACCCCAGGAATGCTCACCCTCGTTAAATTGCAATAGCAGACATTAAAAAAAGGCTATAAATCTTTTGTCCTCCGCCTGAATTATGCGCACTTCTTGCCCATTTGTTACATTTTACATAGAATAAACATTTTTCTTTCATCGGACATTATTTATATATATATATGAAATAATTTAGATGGAGACTATACTGGACAGAGATCTAATGCCTTATCAGCCATTACAATATTATGTCTCTTTATTAGGCAAAATTTACTGAAGAAAATATGGTTACAAAGCACACAAATTCCAGCATGGATAAGTTTGAGTTGAAATTGAAATAAAAAGTATTAGGATAGGCATAAGTTTGTAAAAAAACATATATAGTATGTCTGGATTTAGGAGACTCAGTTTGTAAATGATATTTCAGTAAGTTGCCATAGTTTGTATGTACTTTAATGGTCTAATCATATGTTCCAAGAAATACATGGGAATAGTGTAAGAAAAGAATATCTAACTGGCTATACTAACTACCAGGTTAATTTTTAGTTTTGCACTAAGTAGATATCTTGCTGTGATTGGAAGTTAATATTAGTTTCAATTATAAACATCTGTAGGTGGCATTTGTCTAATATTTTATGAAATAACCACTTTGTATGTTAACTAGTCTGTAATTTTGGTGTTAGGAACATCCGTGAAAGTGAAAAATATTGGAAAAAGTCCAATATTTGCTGATTACTGTAACAGTAAGCAATGTGAATATTTAATAACCCCAAAATGGCCTAGAATGCACCCGAGAGCACATAGAACTCCTGGCTTACAGGGGAGCGTAGGGGGCCTCTGGAACCCAGTACCAACAAAAGTTTCATTTCTTATTCTAATCCTTATAAAATTTGTGGTTTGATTCCTTATTAGACACATTTAAATAGCCTGTTGTAGCTTTGTGTTCGAAATGAATAAACTCTAGAAATTAATGTTTAATGAGAAAACTGCTGAATTGAATGAATAACCCATTCAAAAAATAACAACTGTTATTGTATTCTTTTAATTAATTAAACTCCATAAATTGTTAAAAGTGTAATAAAATTGGAATGTTTACGTTCCAACAGTGTGGGTGGATAATGAAGTAGATTTTGAGGAACAAGAGATAAACTGCACTGTTGCCTACATGTCCCAGTGTACATCATGGAACAAGTGTAAAAACTCTTGTAGATCCATGGGAGCAGCCAGCTATCGATGGTTCCACGATGGTTGTTGTGAATGCATTGGATCCACTTGCATTAATTATGGCATTAATGAAAGCAGGTAAGCTAGTGTTATAACTATATTTCCCTCTAAGATAAATAAGTCAACTAGTTTTTCAGAACATGGTAAAGACGTTACAGTTTATAGTGTTAAGTCTGACAGTTTTTATACAGATTGTCTTAAAAACAGCTGCTTTTGATATGTAATACTTCATTTTTAGTAATCCAATGGATTTTCAAAAGAAAATATTGTCTTGATTTTTCCATCATATGAATTTAGATGTTACAAATGTCCTGTTGAGAAGGAGGAAGTGAGCGAAGAAGAAAATGAGGTAGTAAAGACACATACAAAAATGTTTGGTGGCTCAGGAGAAAAGCAGTTTGGCAAACTTGAGATAACAGATACTGGAAAAAAGAATTATCAAGAACTTGAATCATAGGCTCAGTTTGAAATTGACCAAATATCCCACATGTTAAAAAAATGCCTAATAGAAATTTTAGTTTTTATGAGTCACTGTTGTCCGTGAGAGAAGCTTGGTAAAGCAGTAACTGACAAAGATTCTATTGTACTCAAATTTTACATGGATTTATTGCTTAACTAGCAAGAGCCACAACAACAACAAAAAGTAACATTTTATACGTACATATATATTTGTGTGTGTGTGTAGCAAAATCTTATCTTCTGTAAATGTACAGAATTTAATCAAATTTGTTATATCATTAAAAAAAATCTTTTTCTAACTTTTTCTTTAGCTCAGGGCATAACCTAAGTTTGTATTTGATTATTTTTTTCTTATCTCCTTACTCTATATTGATGAAATTGGCCGAGTGTTTGGTAAGGTGCACACTCTGATTAAATTAGCTTTCTCCTTAGTATATTTCACCTCTAGGATAAGGTACCTGTTAATAGTTATTGTTGATAGCTTTAGTGATTTTTATGATGTATGATACAGAATATAAAATCTTGATTTTAATGCCCTCATATTTCAGGTTCAGTGAGTATTTTTTTTTCCTAACTGTAAGTAATATGGTTGCAAAAATCAACTGATATCTCATGATTGTTCAGGTGGCCTTTGTTATTTTAAGTTGGTTCATGCATGTATAAAAATCAACTGATATCTCATGATTGTTCAGGTGGCCTTTGTTATTTTCAGTTGGTTCATGCATGTATTGGACATTTTTTATTGCAACACCATGTTTGAAATTATAGGTATTATATAGTTATCATTTTAGGCCAACCGAAGCAATTTATGTATGTGTATATGCAAAACCACGTAAAGAAGATTTATAAAAAGTATGATTTGTATAACAAGTTGTAAAACTTGTATGCTATGCTATTTTTATACATTTTATCATTTATCATCTTCACTTAACCCATTTCTTGTTTATAATTTATAAGCTTCACTAAACACATCCTAACAAGGCATGTTTTGAAACTTGTGTGTACTTCTTTCGTTTAAAAGTTTTTGTTTTTTTTCCATTGTTACTAAGTTTATTATTAATTGGCATGTTTGGTACTTAAATATTTTGTTACTTTGTTTATTTAACAGTTTATATTATTCATTAAATTAAATTAAGTAAAATTACATCTAACAAGCCTAACACTTAAAGGAAAGTATACAGACAGGAAGATAGAATTGAAAATAGTGTTAAAACTTCGAGTTAAAAGATCTCATGTATGGAATGAGTGCAAACCAAATCAAAATGAATTATTGGCTAATAAATAGAATAAAAAGAAACATTTCATTTTTAAATTACATTAAAATGATATGAATACAGAGGTTTTTAATGGCAGTGTTTTTTTTTCTCTTGATTTATTTATTTTTGCGTAAATATTTTTTTTTATCATGTTTTTTCTGAATTTTGTGTAAGTTTGAATTTTTCCTTTGTTCAATGTTCGTGTTATGACCTTTCAACTTAATAATTTCAAAAAAGTTCATGCTTTATAGTTCTTATTTAACTATTTGATGATGCATTGATATTATAACTCATGGTCCATTTTACTGCTCATATCTCAAAACATTACAACCCATAATTACTATTACTCATAGCTTTTGAGGCCCATAATTTGCCGTTCAAGCATGTGTGTCTTTTAAGGTTGCATGTGCCCCGATAAACATTTTTGTGGCACGCTAGAGACAAAAATGCACTATAAAGTGTAACATCTGGGGTTTTGGAAGGGGTTGGTTTGACGCATTTTATGATTTAACATGTTCATGGTTCATACATCTATTATTAAGTTAATATGTTTTTTAGTTTAATTGTTGCATCAAACAATTGTTACTTAAGCAAATATACTTAACATATTTGAACTTGTTCGTTACACTTTTAAGTATTACTTAATTTGACAAACTTAACCTGCCAATTTTTTTACCAATTTAATCATTCATTCTAGATTATTAAGACAGTTATAATGTAGCTGATATATTTAGTTAGATATTTCATCAGAATGATTTATTAACCGTGTAGTTTGTACTGAAATAATTTGATTCATTGTATTATAATATTGTAGTTTAATTTTGCATTTAAGTATTACTTTATTGTTATGAAACTTTTTGTATGAAATCTGCAAGTGTTGTGAGGTTTATGTAACCTAACTGATTTTTAAAGATTTAGATGTTAATTTGGTTTACATATTTTAATGTAAACATAAAAAAAAGTTAATCTCATGATTGTATTGTTCAAGCATTCTTTTTAAAATAAACAGTATGCTACTGTTTTGTAAGTATTAAACTACATTGTAATATAGAATAGAAATAAGTTTAAAATATAAAATTTTGAAGGGTTGTCTTTATGTCTTAAAAGTTCATATAAAAAATACATTAAATCTAGTTTTTCCACACCTTCTTATTGGTACTAAAACTACAGAGGTGGGTTAATGGTAAAGCAAATGTTAGTGGTGAAAATGGTTCACTTCTTAAAGATTAATTACATAGTTTTTCATAACTGACTCCTTCTGTGAAGTAGTGCATTCTTCATAACTTCGCATGTGAGTTTATATAATGATTTTTGTCAATCAAAGCATAAATGAGGAAGAACTGGTAAGCGAAGTGAGTCAATAAACATTTTTGCGCCTTCTGCTCCTTCTACTTAGGCATCTGTAAATCAAAGTAAAGTGTGATAAAGACAGATATTAAAATTCCTGTTTCCCAATGAAGCTGGCATCTCTTTTGGAAGTCTTACACGGTTCGGCTCTCATGAACTTTGAAACCTTCACAGCACTTTCTTTATTTACACATCATCTAAAGATAAAGAAAAGGATGACACCTTCCTCTCTCAGTAAAAATTTGTTTACCAAAAGTTACTATTGTATTTTCATCAAGTCAGATTTCCCAATCATCCTGTTTTAAGCCTTCAGGGCCTAAGTTAGCTCAGTTACATTCCATTAGTTCTAGATGACAAGAAAGATGATCTCAAGTATAAGGAAATGAAGATTGTCTTTTAGGAACCTTATGGTACTTTTGTTTAGAAACATTTTCTGTTGTTACAGAAATGAGGAAAACAAAAAAGATAGCATATGTTTCACAACGATTTCATTTATTATGACCATGATTTTTCTAGTAAAGGCATCATTAGGTGCAAACTGTGGTCATAATAAGTGAAATAATTGTGAAGTATGTAATTGTGGAATGTTATGAAGTACCAATGGCTTCAGGTATTAATTTCCCATTATCTTCAGAAATTCCGTTTATAAAGCCAACAGTACTTATAATATTTGGATTTTTTATTTATATTTTATTACAGAGTATTGTTAATTTGCCCAGTTTGAAGAAATTAAACCAAAGTTACACAAGGCATTGAAATAGAGAAAAGTTAAAATCTTCAACAAAAAGTAATTAATTAGGTGCTAAGAAATCAACCTTACTAACAAATGTAGATTATGTGTTCAAGAGATGAGAACCTAACAGAACTAGAATAATTAGATTTGGTTCATTTTAATGTATAGAGAAATTGAATTAGCCAACAGGGTCAAAGAAAAAGTATTAAGGTAGAAGTTAAACTGACCAACAATGTATTTTAAGATACAGAATAATTATACTGATCAACAAACAGTCGAGTAATGGATTAAAGTACAGAAAAAATTGAACTGAAAGACAATGTTAGTTTAAGTATTAAGGATAAATCAGAGATGTTTTATTAACCAACAAGAAGAAGACGGGTTCAGAATATAAATATTTCTAGCTTTAAGAGTGAAGCTTTAAATAAAATTCTATTATAATCTTTTTGACCTATATTCATTATCACAGCATATATATATGTAAAATATTTTACTTATTCGTAAACAACAGTATTGGTCCTAAATACAATAAAACATGTGACTGCTTGGAACTTCACACCTATAGGGGCTTTGCACTAGTGATTGAAAAAAAATTGCATTTAAAATAAAAAAAAAAATTTTTTTTCCTGCATAAGTGCAACAAAATATGTGATTTTTAATTCCTTGAAATAACGGGTGCTTCAATTTTAGCCTTAATTTTAAAAAATGGGGAGACTAGTCCTCTTAAACCCTCTCTTAGTATGCAGTCTTTAGTATTCTGAGTGACTTAGTTACTCAACTGTTTGCTGAAAGACCTTGCTGATAAATACACAAACAGTTTTCTATTGTTGCAGTATACATAGTTGTACTAACATGTATACTTAAACAGATTTAAAACATTTTGTAAAAGTATTGTACCCTTAACTAATAGAATAAGGATATATTTAAAGGTACATTAAAGGTACATTTGATGATAGAGTACACTATTTGTGCAAATATTTAATAAGTTTGGAATATCTGATTGTGTATTGTATTATTAATTTGATGTTTAGAAACCTTTGTGAGCATCAATTAGTTCTATGAAAGACTATTTTAAAGTAATTATATTACTGAAAAAATTTTGTGATTAGTACTTTAAACATTGTAATATATCTAGAGGTAGAAAGGGACATGCCACAATTTCCATCCAATACTGGTGCATAAAAATATTTTACACTGCAGTACTAATCGTACTTGTATGTAATGAGGTATGTTATGAAATTATTTTTTAGCATAAATAAAAGTTGGCAAAAGAAATGTGATAATGACTCATGTGTTCAATGGTTTTACAAAATGCTCAAGACTTAGTTTCTGTAACATTTAAGTAAACTAAGTAAGCTTTCTGGTGTTCAGTGCAGTAATTAGTTAGATAAACTTTGCAAGTATCTTGTAAAAAAAAAGTAAACATTTTGAATATTTTATAATGACAAATGTGATATTTATTTTTTCTCAATCCTAGTACAAATGAGAGTTTATATTTGTATTCTTAAATGAGGGAGTTTGAATCCAAACAGTTTATATGCAGAATAAATTTGATCTCTGTTTATATATTCATCATTGATAATATTTTTGTGAAAGTATGTACATGATGTTATCATCATCTTAGTCATTGTACTTTCATTCAATTCAAAGTCACTGTAAAGAACTTATTAGCACTAATGCAAAACATAGACAAAAAGGAGCTTACCTGTATTGTTTTATTATTAATATTCGGGATCATTCCATTATTATTTATATTGTAGTTAAAACACTTATAGTAATGGAAAACTTTTAGTATTGACATCTGTAAAATGTGGTTCTTCTAGTTGTTGCTGTGTTGCAGTAAGTTTAGAACAGATGCATTAAAACAGTTTTGAATATGCAACTCAAGGTCTGTGACAACTCAGCCATTATATTTATATAGTTGTAGTGGAAGAGAATGTATTGTAATTACATTTAACATTGCTTGACTTTGTAAGTAGTGTGATGCCACCAAAAATTTATTATTTTTGGGAAGGGTATGTATCAGCAAAATATTCATACATTCGGATCATACACATATGTCTAGATTGGGATTACATTTAAAAGACTGGAATATCCCTTGTAATTAATGGCATTGGAAACCAAAAAGAAGCATAGATCAACCTGGAGCACCAGGACCATCCAAAAAAAAGAGACCTCTAAGAAATCATACCACAGATGTGGTGAGCAAAGTTCAGTGGCATAAGCTGTCCACATGCCCTAGGCAACATTACACAACATATTCAAGAAGGATCTCCACCAGGAAAAGCAACACAAGTCACTTCTATGCCATACCTGTTCAACTGTGGCATACCTCAAACAACTTGAGAATGAAATGTGTTTTCATGTTATTCCATAAAAAAACATACTGGTGAAGTTGCCAGATGCAGCATGTATGTATTTTTGGAGATCGGAGCACTGGTAGATTGTTGTCCTTGTATATTAAATGTATTACAGAAGGAATGTAGGGAGTAGTTGTGTGCTTTGACATAACAGCCTTACAACAGAGCCTTTTGCATTGGAAACTACATTGCAGGGCTATTTTTAACATGCACAGCCTTCAGACAGAGCATGGATGAACATAGCGAAAAGAACTGTAGTGACATGGTGATGCACTTAAATTGTATTAATATAATATACTCAACCACTGTACATGAGTATTTTTATTGGCTCTACATCATTTTCGAATGGTACTTAAATTAAAATAATTTAAACAACCATGTAACTACAACATGTTTTAAGGATTTCTTTAGGGGTATTTTCTTATTCAAATTGTTGGTTAAATCACTTTGTTAAACAATAAAATCTCATTGACCCAAATTTAGAAAATAATTTATTTAAACTCATGATGTAATTGCCAATAATGGAAACAAATTTTATTTGGAAGTTCAAGACACTAAGAGAATCCTAATTCTGAATAGGTCAGTGAACTATTGAAAACATTTGAAACTATCCACTTCTTTCTCCACAGTATTGTCAGGTATAGAGTAATTTCCTACATATTAAAAATTAATATT